GATTACAGTGCCTGGCACAATGTGGCGGAATCAAAGACAATCCTTTTCTTAAAACAATATTTAGAAAAAATACATATAGGAAAGGGGATTAAATTTTCTTCTGTTCTCATGCTATTTTACTATATTACAAATGAAATGTTATGAAAAATTGTATATCAAATTACATTTTAGAGAACGTGTTTGAATTTCCATGACTTATTTACATTCTGACTTTTATTGTAAGTTATTAATTATTAAACTGTACTGCTATCCATTCATTAAAACATATGTTTAAAATCAACTGTAATTTCTGATTAATACTTTTGTGAAGAAATTACAAAGTCAGTAATGATTTGGGACTTAAATTGTTGAAAACTAAAATTTTTATGGGTTAATGTAAAAATTTTTGGTAACTAGGAAAGGGATCCTTTTAAAAAAGAATGAATAGGTCTTTTGTCATTGTTTGTATTATCCTAGCTAGATCATAAAATCCTTGAGGGCAAGAACCATGTCAGACCCTGTTCATCTTGCAGTAGCAGAAAATGTATATATGCTCCATAAATATTTTTTGATTAGTAATTTAAATCTTGATTTAGTTGAGATAACTCATAATTTTCTTAGTAGATGCATTATTTAAAAGGTTTTAGAGAAAAATGTATGTGTTAAATATTATATTTTGTTATCTTAATACAACATAACTTCTAATTAACGATGGACAGAATCCTTTAGAAGCAATAAGATTTAAATTTATAATTTCACTGTAAAAATATAACATTAGCAATGTTCTTCCTGTGTGTCGGTCCCTCCCCCCCCCACTTTTTTCATTCATTATAGGATTTAGGTTACAGCCCCCCCCTTTTTTTTTAAGAGACAGGATCTGGCTCAGGCTAGAGTGCAGTGGCATGATCATAGCTCACTGCAGCCTCCAACTCCTGGGCTCAAGCTAAGTGATCCTTCTGTCTCAGATTCTCAAGTAGCTAGGACCATAGGCACACACCACCATGCCCAGCTATTTTTATTTGTGTGTGTGTGTATATATATTTTTTTTTTTGAAGAGACAGGACCTCACTATGTTACCCAGGCTGTTCTAGAACTCCAGGCCTCAAGTGGTCCTTCTGCCTCAGCCTCCAAAAGTGCTGGGATTACAGGCGTTAGCCACCCTGCCCAGCCTAAGTAACCCATAATTTGGTGAATAACTATTGAATATTTTATAGGCAGCACAGATGGACTAGAGGAGACCACTGTCCAGACTGCTATGAACAAAGACACAGAGGCAAGGAGGCGCAGAATATGTTTGGATAACGATGATGGAAATATTAATAGAAAAATAGGTCAGGGCACAGTGGCTCACACCTGTAATCCCAGCACTTTGGGAGGCTGAGGAGGAAGGATCACTTGAGGCCAGGAGTTGGAGACCAGCCTGAGCAACACAGCAAGACTCCCATCTCTACTAAAAAAAAAAAAAAAAAATTAGCTGGGCATTATGCCACATCCCTGTAATTCCAGCTACTCAGGAGGCTGAGGCAGGAGGATCACTTGAGCCCTGGAGTTCAAGGCTGCAGTGAGCTATGATCACACTGCTGCACTCTTGCCCAGGCAATGAGTTAACACCCTGTCTCTTTAAAAAAATAAAAAATAGAAAAATATTAATTTATTGAAATCAAGTATTTACTAGAAGGGTCTTATAGCATAATAAGACTATAATTCAAACAGATGTGAGATTGAATCCCAACACTGACACCTTGGACAAAACGTTTAATTGCTCTAAGCCTCAATGTATTTATTACTAAAATTATGATTCTTACCTATATTTTAAGATTCTTTTCAGTAGTTGATACAAAATGCACAGCTTAGTATATGGTATTTTTGAACATATACTATGCCTTGACATTTTTAAGAATACAGAAGTATAAGAAAGATGTAAATGGTCTTGTTGAAAACAGAAAACATTTAAAAAATTAAAAGACAAGGCAGAACCGTATATAATGTACCAAAATGTGAAGCACAGATTTAGGTAGAGTGAAAAATAACAACTGTTTTCACTCTTAGAAAATGTCAGTAAACATCAGGTAGAATTTATTACTGAGTTCTTAAATACATTGTTTCTGTGGACCGTCCTACAGAACCGCTATTTTTCTAAACAGGTTTTCTATTATACGATCAGACTGTCTCACTCAGATATGAGGGTCCCTTACATTGTTTGTATGTGTGTGTGTGTTTGTCCTTCTGAACTAGAATAGTAACCTACTCATTTTGTTTGTGGAATCTTATGTGTATGTAATGAGAGATACCTGAGAGACAGTATCATGAGAGTCATAAAGATAATATTAAATAATTAAGCAAACAGGCCTTTTGATCTGAAGATTGAAATATTTACCAAATAAATAATTAATTGTTGGTTCTCTGTAATACTATCAGGAGAAAACTTGCCCTGAATCCTAACTTATGTCAAATAAACTCAGTGACTATTTCTTTAATCACTATTTATAAACATTTTTTAGTGATTTCTAGTCTGTACCTTTAATTCCAGTATATTTATAAAATATCTGTTAAAGTATAACATTTTATGTACTGAAAAAAATAGGCCTGTAGGTTCATACTGCTTTATATTTTTCATTTAGTTCTTCTATATAACAAGAGACCACATCTTCTTGTTCTTAGAAGAGTGCCTTACACAAAGACCTAATAAATACTGATTTTTAAATTATTGATCTGTCAATTTTTTCTTTTATTCATTATTGGTTATTAAATATAAATTGAGGATTTCTACAAAATTAATATTTAATATGCATAAAGGTGATGCTAATGATTCCACAGAAATAAGTACAACTAGAAGATAAGTCATCAGAGTACTATATAACTCCTTCCTTAGATCTTTACATAGTTCCTATCTTTCAGTTGCAGATCATTTGTTACTTGCTCAGAGATGCTATTTGTCTAACCACCCCCATCTCATGTTCCTCAAACTCCTGCTCCCCTATCTGGGTCCAAGTCATCCATCCCTTCCCCACTGAAGCCTTCCCTGATTCTCCTGTTTCCCACCCCGCCCCCCCACCAAGAATGAATTCTTCTCTGTACTTGCATTCGTTATGTCACTTGGAAACGATAGAACCACCTATATGGGTCCTTTATCATCTTTATACCTTTGTATCCTTATTATCAAATTATTTATTATTTATCTTTCCCATTAAAATGCAAGCTTCCTAAGAACAGAAATATTGTTTTTGTTGACTGCTGATACTCATGTGCTTAAAATAATGCCTAGCATATATATGTATATGTATAGGTTCTTAATAAATATTTGTTGAAGGACAGAATGAAATGAACAAACAAATGACTATACTTGCTTATTAAGGGGAACTTTATATATGTGGTTCCAGTTTTTAAGGTGCCGAGTGAAAATTTTTTCTTCTGTCATTCTTTATAGATGATGTTCACCTGGGTGTATTCCTTTTCTTTCCTTCCTATTGGTTGCTTTATCTGGGAGATATTCTGTCTAACCATTGGTGGTACAGTTTGAACATACATAAAAATTCTAGGAGGAGGTCTCTCACTTAGAATCTTCAGGGATCTATAAAGAATACCAGATTTTCTCTTAAGAATGAGGTTGCATAGTTTATCCCGCTTGACCCTAGGATCAGGGTTCACTTTTGCCCAGTGCCCAATCCTCTAACTGTATACTGCAAGTTTATGGGCTTAGGTAATAGCTTCGGAACTGCTATTTTCAGTTCCACCCATTGGTCAGGGCTTGGCTATAGGCCAGTCTCAAAAAGACCCAAGGTTTGACAAAAGCTGTTTCAGCTGTTATTTCTTGCCCCTGATCAGGTCCTTCAGTGGGGGTCGTAACCAGAAGTCTAAGGATAATATTCTAGAGGACCCTTTAGCTAAAAGTGCTGATAGTAAACTCAAAGTATTAGACCAAGAAGAAGGAGGCTGAAAGAAACAGATTAACAAAATTCAGAAGACAGAGCAGCAAAAGAGATTTTAAGAAATAAAAGTGACAAAAGGCAAGATGAACATTGTTTTGTTAGCTAGAAGTGAATTATGACTGAGCATAGAATTAGTGCTAGTGATAAGATGGGAGAAAGCCACCTGTTCTAGAGGAAAATGATACGTGATAAAACAGTTTGAGTCATCACCTCTAGTGTTTAATTAAAAGTATCCAGAAGCCTCTAGATCTACATGGAATCTTTTTACCTTTTTATTATTGTAGAGGCAATGCTGCCTTTCCTCAAGCATCAATACATTCAAACATACTCAACAAATCAATTTTTATTATATTATTAACCACATTTTATGATTTTTAAAAGATGCTTCCACAGTATGAATAGGATGTTCCAAAAGTTAGTCTGTAAATTGCTGGAACATATCTTAAAGAAACAAGTGACAGTTTCCCAGAACATCCCATAAAAGCCTATCTAAATAGGTGTGATTAAAGTGCCAATAATGCATAAACCACAATAAACATAAACATCTGTTTTTAAATTTAAATAATTATCAGGCACCGAACAAAGTGATTTACATACATAATCTTAGTACTCAAAACACTGTAAAATATGTATTGTCTCTTTTGTGATAGAGGCTACTAAAGGAAAAATATTCAAAAGCTCACTCAGGTCATGCAGTTAGTGGTGCAGTCATGATTTGAATTCAGATCCAACTGACTCAAAGCTCTTAACTCCTTACCATTATGATATCCTACCTTTATATGTAAGAAATATTTATATACTTTATATACCAAGCAATATACTGTGTTTTCTACAGAATTCACACCATGCATTTTAGCATAACTAAGGATATGTGATAACTGTAAGATAAGGTTGTCATAAATGCCACGAAAGAGGTATAGATAAATTACCATAGAGGCAAAAAGAGCATTCACAAGCAATGGCTTACAAACAAACCTAGAGCCACAGATATTTGTATGTTTAGGATTGTTTGGATTTGAGTTTACTTTTTACTTATTTATATAGTTTCCTAACATTTGAGGTACATTTTTTTTTTTTAATGATCAATAACAGTTCACAGAAGAAAAGCTTGGCCAGGCTGAGAAGACAGAATTGGATGCTCACTTAGAGAACCTCCTTAGCAAAGCTGAATGTACCAAAATATGGACAGAAAAAATAATGAAACAAACTGAAGTGTTATTGCAGCCAAATCCAAGTAAGAAACTTTTTACCTCTTGTCTACCTTAAATATTAATACTACTAGTGGGTTTTTTAATGTTAAAAAAAAGTTTTAATGACTTTAATAACCAGATTTTTTGATTGTGGCTTCAGGATTTGTGTGTATGTGCTTTCGTGTAGAAGAGATGATAGACATTTCTTCTCTGTGCTCTCTAACAAATTTACAAATGACATTTTTCACACTTTTGTAGAATCCTGTTGAAACCTCAATTTCAGTCAGAAATTCAAAATTCAGACTCAATTTTAAGAGCCATGAGGGGACTGTGAAGATAAAGACATTTTCCCTTTTTATACAGGGAAGAATTGTCCCTAAATAATTAAGAGAAAATTATTTAGATACTTACATAGTTACCAGTTTTTTATGTTAAGTTTTATATTTTCACATTAAGTATTTCATTTGATTTTCATACAACTGAGATTTTTCAGATAACTCAACAACCTTGCAGATAAGGTGCACAGTAATTTATTGAATGAAACTTACAAGTTAGCATCTTGTCCAACGTAGCCTACCTAATTAAAAGTGAAACTTGGACTAGAACTACATATATTGACATCCAGTCCTTTAACTATGAGTTTTGCCTATCAAAACTGAAGGAGAAAGGCAAAAATACATGCTTTTCTTCTCTTTTCCCCAATGTTACTGTCACCGTGTTGCGAAATGCCATAAACTTACTTTTAGATTCTAACTTAAACTTCAAGCACTGTGCAAATATTAGTAATTCTGTGTCTTTTTTGTTAAATTGTAGTAACCTTTTAAAATAGCCTTCATACTTTGAGTCAGGCTTATTATCTTTAGACACCATGTAGTAATTATTTATTTAAGGTCATTTAAATTATATGCCATGGCACTTTAAAAAAGTAATAGGTATTTTTCCTCTTGTTCCTTGCTCTATTCACTGATTCCCAAATATATAATCTGTTCTGTACATGGTTTTCTGAATGGAAAATAAGCTCATGACTGGTAAACAGAGAAATACACAATTCCTTCCAGCTCCTAGGCTTTTGTGTCATGAAGTAGTAACAAAATTGTTTTGTTTTTTGTTTGTGCTCTGGTTACAAAGTTTCATAGATTTTTGAGTGGTCAGTCCCAACTCTGTTTTTCCTATAAGCCCTGTGTTATTTTTAGTGTATAATTTTTTTAAAAACTAGAGTTTTTCAAGAATATGTTATATAGAAATATAGATTGCATTATAGCAGAATTATCTGCATATTTTGTTAAAATTTTATTATGACCTGTTGAAATTAAACATTTATTAATATACCAATATACCAAACATTTTAGTTAACTGAATGAAGTCAACATAGGATTCAACTTTAAACTTTTAGCCAAATAGGTCAAAGGTAGCACTCACAGTCAGAAAATGAAAGTTCTGAAATTTAAGTAGCGTCTTCTAAATGATTATGTTTTGAAAAGACTCATTTTGGTTTTAACTAATTTAAAGATTTTTAAATTTCTGCTTAAAAATAAATCTTCTGATTTAATACTAGAATCTGCCACAAAAGTGAGTATTATTCCAAAACCCTATTTTATGTATTATAATTAACCCTTTTGCCAACTCCTGAGGCGTTTCTCTTACTGGTTCAGCTCATTTTTTAAATTTTCAGCACTGTAAACTTCCAATTATGGTAGGAATCTATGGGAGGTGTTTAGAGGGAATCTGTTTGTCTTAGCTTCTTTTTAGATTGTAATTTTAATTTATACTTAATCATTGTTTCTGGAAACTTCAGCCATTTTCTCATTTATCACTGAAATACCTCACTGTTAGGTGGCAATGTGAATGTGAATTTCTTTTGGTCTTAAATATTATGCTAACCAAGTATTTATTCAGCTTTTACTGGTTTTTCCTTTCTATTTATATAAATGTTTTATTAATGCATTTAATCTTTTGTCTTGTATTTTAAACCTGTTTTTAATGGTGAAATCTTTGGAGTGAATGCATACTTAGAGGTAACGTCTATGCACTTTAAAAACATAATTAAATAAACTAAGGCCAAGGGATCATATTACTGATCTGTCTATAGACTATTCCAAGCCTGGATTGTTCTATTCCTTAAGCACTTGTGTCTATATTTAGACTCTAGGCAAGAAAAAGAGAGAACACATGCTCACACTAAAGCTGTCAGATGTGACTTTTTGATTCTTCTAGGTACTTTATATCCATAATTTCCTAGCTGGAAATCCCTGATTTTGAAGTTATGAACATATATTCAGAGTTAAAAATGCTAAAAATAGGGCAAAGGCAACTTCACTAAATAGTAAGTGAATTGCTGTCGATCCTCTTCTGGAACTTAAATCCCACAGAATACTCAAATAATAGTTTTAGCTTTATTTTAAAATGTTTTTATGCTAAGATATTTTATCAACTTTCTAAAATATAAGTATTTTAGAGTTATATAATACTCTAATATGTAAATAAAAAATTATATTAAGATGTGCTTGAATGAATGTTAATTTCATATTTAAGAGACAATAAATGGTAGGGGAACAAAGCAATCTTTTAAATAGCTTTGCTTTTTTGAAATCATTGGTAATTTTTACCTTTTTCCTAGATGCCAGGATAGAAGAATTTGTTTATGAGAAACTGGATAGAAAAGCTCCAAGTCGTTTAAACAACCCAGAACTTTTGGGACAATATATGATTGATGCAGGGACTGAGTTTGGCCCAGGGACAGCTTATGGTAAGTAAAAGGCAAACAGTTCTGATAAGAAAATATCTTTATGTTTAGAATTTTACTACTTAGAGATGTCATTGACATATTAGTAGAATTAATTTTAACTTCAAATATTTTATGTTAAAATTTTGAACGAAGTGAGACTATAGAGGTGACTAATATGTATAGTTCAACTTAATATTTAATATATTTAAGCATATATTTAGAAAATGTACTAAAATTACCAACTTTCAAAAATATAAATTTTTATATTTATATCTTTTTTAGTTAAATGAATTTTTCATTTGTACTCCTATCAATCTTCTAATACCTATGTTGTAGTACTTCTTGTGATCTATTGCAATTATTGTTTACATATGTTTCCCACTTAATTTTTTTTCTTTAGAACTTTCATAGGGCTTGTTTAATATTAAAAGTACTTGGCATATAGTGTTTCAGCAAATCACCGGTGCTTTTGTTTTAATTTCACAGTAATGTCAGTATCCAAAACACATTAACAATGGTAATCTAGAGGTTTGGATTACATTTCATTTGTATTTTCCTCTTACTTATGTCAGATTTTCTATAGTCATGGTTTAAAGTTGTGCCAACTTTACCTTATTGCTTTGTTTTACCTCTTGTATTATTGCTTTATTTGAGCTCTTAGCTTTAGTTTTTGGGTGGTTTTACACTTCAGGATGACCATTATGTTGTCCTTATACGATACAGTTCTGAGTATTTCTGGCAGAGCAGGTTTGGTCTTGACAAATTCCCTCAGTGTTTGCTTGTCTGGAAAAATATTTCTTCTTCATTTATGAAACTTAGTTTTACAGGATACAAAATTCTAGGATGGCAGTTCTGTTTAAGAAGACTGAAGATGTGGGGACCCCAATCCCTTCTGGCTTGTAAAGTCTCAGTTGAGAACTCTGTGGTTAGCCCGATGGATTTTCCTTTGTAAGTTACTTGACAGTTTTGCCTTACGGCTCTCAGGAGTTCCTCCTTCATGTTGACTTTGGCCAGTCTGATGACTATATGTCTTGGTGATTGCCTTTTTGGGATAAATCTCCCAGGTATTCATTGAGCTTCTTGTACTTGGATGTCTAAATCTCTGACAAGACAAGGGAAATTTTCCTCAATTATTCCCTCAAATAGGTTTTCCAGCCCTTGTGCATTTTCTTCTTCACCCTCTGGGATGCCTATGATTCTTATATTTGGGCGTTTCATATAATCCCATATTTCTCATAGACTTTGTTCATTCCTCTTAATTCTCTGTTCATTATTTTTGACTGTTTTAAGTCAAAAGAGTTGTCTTTAAGCTCTGAGATTCTTTTGTCTGCCTCATCTAGTCTGTTCTTAAAACTTTCCAGTGTGTTTTGTATTTCCTAAAATGAATTTTTCATTTCCAGAAGTTCTGTCTGATTTTTCTTTAATATGTCAATCTCTTTAGGGAATTTTTCATTCATTTCCTGAATCGTTTTTCTGGTTTCTTTGAGTTGGTTCTCCATTTTCTCTTGGTTTTTGTTGAGGTTCCTTTTTTTTTTTTTGGGAGGTGTTTAGAGGGAATCTGTTTGTCTTAG